CAAAATAACTGATCCCGTGGTACAATACTGACGCTGTGAAACACAAATGTTCATCGCCACAGGCATAAAATACAGTCTACGTCATTAACGCAAAAGCGTGTTTTACTAAAATAGATAGACCCTCCAGCTTCGCGTCCGTCTGTTCGCATAAATCAACTGCGCCTTCAATAACAAAATTTTTATTAAGTTTTATAATAAAAGTATCCTACCTACTTACACTCTGATGGCAGAAATGACTCAACGCTGATAATATCGGTAGAATTGCACTGAACACGATTCACCTTAGAGCGTCAAAATTTATCGTCTTATGGTCCTTCTTAATATCATTCTGTCATATTCTACTTGTCTTCTAAGCGAATTAGCGACTAAAATACTTTATCCGCTGTTTGCCTCTTCAATTTGAATAACAGTCTCCTAGAGTTCACTACTCGAACAAAATTAAATGACTTATGTAAAAGTTTCTTGTTGTCTAACAACCTCAACTGCTTAATTGGACCTACTCCTGCAAGCTAGTTCTTATACTTCCCTCATTACTGCTTTTCAATCGATTAACAATGTTTTAGAATGAAAACCTACACTGAATTGTCACAATATTCGAAATGAAACATGAAGTCAGACCAGAATTTAACTTTCGATGTGTAAAAGTCAGGAAATAAATAAAACAACTCCATCAAAACGGACGGTAGACATTTTACACTATTGATCAATCGAATAATTATATATATTCTTCACTGTAGAAAATACTGTCTTCTGGAATGTAGTTCCGTGTACTCTGGTAGATATATATCGGACGAGGTTTCTGCCGCCATCATCATGGTGGAATCCTGATAATTCAGGCAGTAAGTTATTATTAAACGTCGGTCAATAACCACCAGACTACACAGTGCTACAACCTAAAAGAAAGTGGCCCTTATACTATGTAGGATTTGAGGTTTTCACAGCGGTGAGTCTGAAGATTTCTGTCTTCTGGGTTGTTGCGCTGTGTAGTCTGGTCGATGTTTACCAACGTTTCAGAGGTCATACTGCCTCCGTCATCAGGGCGATGAGTATGAAGATTTCTATCTTCTGGGTTGTTGTGCTGTGTATTCTGGTAGATGTTTACCAACGTTTCAGAGGTCATACTGCCTCCGTCATCAGGGCGATGAATTCATTCATTCAGCATAACCTCTGAAACGTTGGTAAACATCGACCAGAATACACGGCGCAACAACCCAGAAGACAGAAATCTTCATACACAAAACATTTTCGTAATAAAACTGATGCTCTAGTAAGAATTCAAGGTAGCATGTAAGAAATTCCTGATAAGTGTTGGAGAGCGAAGAATTTCCTCATTCTAGAGTCTTCGTGCTTACATCCACGAAATATAATATAGGAACGTGTCAGTTACACGCGTTCACACACTCTGTACACAATGTCCCATTGGAGAATAAAACCGCGAACCGGTAGACCAAGAATATCCCCTTCTGCTGTCCCTTGAATAGGGGCCAAAGCTCAGAGATCAGTGTGATTCCCTATCCACAAACGGGACCACTCAGTCATTGAAGAAATCTAAATGGGCTATACAATGAAAACAAAAAGGAACACTTACTATTTTTTGTACATGAGAATAAGAAGATTTAACATACCCTAAATTTATATTTACATGTAATATCATTCGTGTGTGTACTATTCTTGTAGGTTTAACTGCCTCATCCATCGCGTGGCTTAAATTTACTCTTCTACGTCTGCTGTCACCCCTCTAAATAACGTCCCATACAAAGGCAAGAACCTTGGAATCCTGTTCTCACAGCAAACGAATGTCTCCACTTCCATTCTAAGCTACAGTAATGGATGTCCACACGTGCCTTCTTTAATGTCATTATAAACAGTATCCCAACTTATTTTTTCGTAGGCCAACAGTTAAAGTTTTCTATAACAGAACGTCTTATAGTTTTTTTTGTTTAAAACTTGTCAGTCAAATCACAATAAAATTCCTATTAAATATTAAAATATTACTAAAATTAACACTGTGTAAAAAGTGATGATCTAATGTAAATCGAACATTTCGATAGAGAACATCATTTTAAATATTTAAATGTTAATTTTAGTAATATTTTAATATTTAATAGGAATTTTATTGTGATTTGACTGACAAGATTTAAACAAATATATATTTATCACAATATGACGCAACTTTATCATCTCATGACTAATTTTTATAGTTATAAATACAGAGTAAAACTGTTCCATAAATATTCGACGTCGAAGCTTGTATAAATAATATATAAGAACTCAGTCCGCACCCAGAAGAAATCAAAATACCTAACCATTACAAGGATTAACTAGTTAATGTTTTTAAAGAAAATAATCGCTGTTTACAGCGAGAATCATACGAAACTCGTAAATATAAAATGCAGTGTTACTTGGTGTTGCTGTCGATGGTACATATGTATAGTTACCACTGGGTTATTATTCTATAAATTTAATTCCTTAGAAATACAAGTATATAAGAAAGAAAGGAAGATATAAATAAATAAATAAAAAACTACAGTAGAAGTGGGAAAAGTGAAGCGCATTTGGATGTAGAATTGGGTAACAGTCTAATATGTATCACAAACTGCATTCCGCTCCTCGGAAAAATATTCCTGATTATCGTTTCTGTGTTAATAATTCTGCCGGTTAGCGATACTCTAGACGCAAGAAACATTTAACAGACGAAGAAACATCTTAAAAGTTTTGTAGGTATGATTTCCCTTCAACTGGAATTCATCAAGTTTTATTACAAAAATGTGTGTTAATAACACAACGTTTCAATTTGAACTGCTCGAAAATTGTAATCGTCGGTTCGAATCCTGTTCGCGCACGGACGTTAAGTATGAGTTATTCTGTGTTGGCCCTGCATTCTGAGGAGACCGACAGACCAATACACCGTCTAAACTGTATTAAATTTTAATTTCGAATGGGAACAGTCAAATAATTTAATTTATGGTGTATGAAGGAGACAATCTGACACCCATTACAAATTAAGTAAGAAGTTACAAAATTATATAAAATGCATAACAAACTGAAAGATGGTTCACGTGGTCATGTTGTTAAACTAGGCACCTGTTTATATATAATATTTTCTACAAGGACTAAATGATTACCTATGATTCTTGTGACAAGTTCCATCACATTGCAATACGTAGAGGTAACATTCAATAATTATTATTATTATTATTATTATATTATTTACGTTATAGCTGAAACGATGTTTAAATGTGTACTACTGTATTGGCAAGTGTGTTCAGCAGATATGAGTAAGACATCGACATAGAATAAGAAAACATGTAGAAAAAATATTAAGCCGATTTTGAACAATGCCTAGAGAAAATATTTTTTTGTATGCTCACATTATTGTGTAGGACAGATTTGATAATTCTCAGCGTAGCAAAAAACGAATTTCTACTTTATCCAATTACGTTGTATTCTGATTTGTTTAGGGTTTATTAAAGGACGATGTCATTAAAAAAAACTATATAGTTTCGGAAGATAGTCTTCCTTACGACACTGTCCCATAATATACCTGGAGGGACTGAGGAAAATACTAAAAACCTCAGTCAGTATGG